TAGAGAGAAGACTTAGTTAAAATGTTGACTAAATATAAGACGTGTGGGTTCTTGGAAAACCGGATTGAAAAGCGATTGTTTTGCATATGAACCCCTGTGGTTTGTACTTTTTGCACATGAACCCTTTTTACTTTTAATATGAGTACATGACCCATTTGTATTTAAATATAGGGCAAATTACGGCCAACCCCTTTGACGTATGGCCAAAAAACCCACTCCTTGTTTTGGGGTAATGGGTAATTACAATCACCCCCTCCTTTTAAAATATTTTTACATAAAATTTATGTAATTCGGTTATTTACCATACCAAATCGTATATTCAGTTCGGTAAATTGTATGAAATGTTGGCGTACCGAAATTTCGGTTCGGTTTTAATTTTACCAATTTAACATCTCTAAATTTACCTCTGAAGGGATTTTTTCGTAATATAATACATAGTTGAGGGATGGTTGTAATTACCCAAACATGAGGGGAATTTTCGTAATTTAACCATAATTCATGAGTGACTGTATATTTGCCCGGTATTTCACTTGGCAAATAAGCATGGTCATTAGAAAAAGCATGTGTTTAATACGAAATTGAATACTAAATAATGAAATTACAAAAAAAATTTGAGTAGTTCACCTCTAGGAAAATGACACACAAATAAGCAACTAAACACACCTACATGTTTGAATTTTATCATGAGATTTGATAGGAATATTTGGGCTAATTGGGGTTGTCCAAACTAAAACAATTTGGGGATCCATTAATCAATGATTATGAAGAAAGTTCAATGTATATATATATATATATATATATATATATATATATATATATATATATATATATATATATATATATATATATATATATATATATATATATATATATATTTGGATTGATAGGCTGTCAAACATATATTATCTACTATTAGAAGGAGACATATTTTCTTGTTTACTTGTGTATGAGTGTGTATTTGTGTGAGATAGAAGCACAAATGTGGTAGTATCGATGCCACCAATTATATATGGTTGACTCTTTCTCGGAAGTTAGCTGCTAGGTCTGGTTATTTACATCGGATGATCATTAATCGTAGATAGGGTCTAATTAAACACATATACATATAAGTGTATGTTATTATGTGCAGATCTATAGTTAAAATTACTGCCCCAATGTAAATAATAAGATATAACATCTCGTATCTATGTAATCAAATCAACTGATCAACCAATGAACTAACTATTAGCTATTTTAAGAATAATTAAATTGTTATATATGAATAATAGAATTGCAGAATGAGAGAATTATTTATCTCAAATATATTGCTAGTATATACAGTACATGTAGGAAACCTCAACTATTTATACACAACAACTAAGAGAAATACGTGTCAAAATTGAAAATTACAAGATATATATTTGCAAGAATAATATATGCTTAAACCTTTGTAAATTAATAAATTCGAGACTGGTGAAATTATTAATGTAGTAAAATACTAAATAATTAATAAATCAAACGTTATTAACGTATTGATTAAAAAAATAATCATATAATTGAATTATTATTGATCATTGAAAGTTAATTGCATTAAAATAAAATATTTTAAGGATCCTTAAACATATCACATAAAATAAGGGATACGTTTTTCTCAGATAATGACACAATAATATTATACTTTTCGATTTTGTAGATGTTACATTCGTACAGTTCATCGTATATGTAATCTACTTACACGTGTTAAGTATAATTAACGATTCAATCGATTTTGATATCTACAATTTTATCTTTTCAATTATTCATATCTTACAACTAGACAAATACTTGTAAAATTTATATCATGGTGTACATACAATGATATATCTATTATTTGGTATTAAAAAAGATTGTATTCACACATGATTGGCCATTTGAATATATTATATACAAATATTTAAATACAATAAAAAAAATATTTAATTTGAACAGCTGAATATTCGGGAAATTTCTACGATGATTCTGTCGATACCTTAACATATAATCATATTTTAATAAAATAATTTATTCCGAAATAATGTCTGTTTTAGTAATTAAAATATTGGGAGAATCTTTATAATAAAATAATTGATTCAATTATAATGTTTATTCAAAGTTTCAACTCATAATAATGACTGGCAATCGTGACACTAATAAGTAACTAACAATTGGCACTATTAAAAATATATTTGTTGAAACGACGCCGTTTTCTCTGTTAATCAAGAGTCAAAGTCAACATTTTAAATAGCTAAAAATACACTTTGCCCGATGCATTTGATTAATTACAACATGAACAACAACGTTTAAGACGGCCAAAGGGTAAGGGTAATTATATATATATATATATATATATATATATATATATATATATTGTTACGTTTAAGACGGCCAAAGGGTAATTTTATATTTTTTTCTCGTTATATAATAAAAGAATCCGCAGTTACAACTTTTTACTAAATTATGATCCGTTATCGGGGTCGAATCTTTATTACAATTTAAGATGGTTTCGCACTTGAATAATTTGAATGATGTGTGGTCCAATCAAGTAAATGTTAACACTAATTAATTTCAACGAACTCTTAAGCAAGGGTTTGTTCGATGCTACACTCGATAAATTTCATTATAGTACGTGTGTGTGTATATATATGTTTGTATGCGCGTGATTGTGTATGTATCTGATTTGAAAATATATTCATTGTATTTCACTAGGTGTATCATATACAAGGCTCCTAAACGAGTTAGAACTGAACCTTGAAACATTAATCAAATTGGCTGATGCACAAAAATCAACGTATACGTGTTTGTGTGTGATTGTTTGTAATTCTATATTTTTAAATTATATGATATATTTCAGCAAATATAACATCTACACAACCATGGAAGAATGTCACATACATACACAAACCCTAGTTATATTATCAATTCTTATATCTCGTTTGGTTTCCAAAATAAAATTAACCAACATAAGTTACGATAACATAATATCTGTAGGTCGACCCACCAAGTTATTAGGGATAACCAACATCAAACAAAGTCGATTTACTTAGTTAATAATGACTAATATCTCCAACCAAACGAGACTTTAATCAACAATTACACGTATCTCAACCAACGTGACACGCGCAAACCCTAGTCGTTATCAATTATTTAATTACAATTTCGAGTACAAATCCTCGATATTCCCCAACTAACAAGTAAGGTAGAAACTACAAGGAAAGAAAGAATTAATTACTAATAAATAAATTAATTAAATGAAGTTAGACATATAATAAAAAATATATAATTGAATTTAATGTTATCCCAATTGGTCCATTGTCACACATGAAACCAAATTTCAACGCAATAGTCTAAGGTCACAATCTCAAGTCAAGGCATCGGCGCATATTTCAATATTACTTATATTTAATTTAATATTTTTTTGTTATTTTCTTTTGGATTTTCTAAAGTTAATAAAGACAGGTGGGAAAAAATGAGGGTCTAATAAGAGATTAAGTCAAAGATAGAGTATCTAATTGACTAATTATACTATGTAAAGGTCTATTAAATTTGAGAAATTGTAGGCATTATATATTATTTATTGTGTTTACACATACAAATAATTAATAGATTTTTTAGTCAGGTAAGTTTACTAATTGAGAGATTTAGTCCATTTTATTTAAAAATTAGATTTTTTGTCCTATAAGTTATAGAATTTGAGAATTCTGGTCATGTGACCTGATACAATAGATGATTCAATTTTTGGTTGAGTGAGTCGACATTTGATTTATGAAAATAAATAGTCTAGATGATGTGGTTGATAAGTTGGATGGTTTCGTGTGTATTTTGTCCAACTCATCAACCACACCATCTAACTATATTTCTAATATTTTTTTTTTATAAATTAAATGCCTACCGGTTAAAGGACCAAAATTGTAAAAAAATTGAACTTATAGGATATTCTGATTTTGAAATTAGGTGGACTAAATCTTCCGACTAACAAACTTACTGAACTAAAAAACCAGGATTATTTATTTTAATTTTGTATAACATTTTGTAATTTGTGTGATATATTCAAATCATGTGGCTTGATTCCCACTATTAATTCTTGATATTTGGAATGAATGTTTGAAAACAAATTTATTGAGCAAAAGTCTACAAATGGAAAGTTAAAAAGCTAAAAGAAGATGTGCATCACATGGTCCAATCCAATTTAGAGGTTTGTAAGTACCTTTTTTGGGGTTGAATTTGGACTAATTTATGCAAATTGAGAATAATATGAGAAAGAAGAAATATGTGAATTGTAATTGGTGGAAGTGTGAAAACTCTCACTCCAAAAAGTCTTCTTTGTGCACAAAATATTAGAATTTTATAAATATCACTCTCAATAAGACAATACTTTTCTTACTAATAATTATATATTAGAAGTTTATAACCCTTTTGAGTTATTGCTCTACAAATTGTCCTTTATTGTTAAAAAGGAATATTGGAAAATTTTCCTTCATCTACATAAATAGGGATCGATTTATATTCTATCATACATGTGTATAAATCTATACGTATCTGATTTATCATATATTCACGTACAATGTCGAATTGCGCACTTATTCAAGCATGTTCGAAATTAAGTATATAAAAAAATCTAAATTACTAGATCCGCCATTGTTCACATATATATGTGTGCGATTTGTATGTAAATTAAAGATGAAGAACTAGTCAATATATTTCACCACGTGTAGTATCCATGGACAACCCAATCGTATGCGTGGAAATATCTAGTAATTATTTATATTTAATTAAAAAAAAGTGTTAATCCACATAATTTGAATATGAGAAGTAAGAACAAGTACCATACTTTGTTACAGCAAATTTACAGAAACCAGGTAATACTAAAATGTGAGATAAGAGTAAAATAATTACAGAAATATCAGAATTAGAAAATGTTACAAAAATAAATAAATTATATATATGAAATATATCCAAATAATTTTTATAATAATATTAACTAATAAATCATCAACTAATCTCAAAAACAAAAAAAAAAAAAAAAAAAAATCATCAACTAAAAAAAGATGGCAGTTGGTTTTCCAGGGGAAGGTGGATTAGCATTCAAAACAGAGGCATGCTCCCCTGCTCTAGCAACAGCATCACCATCTCTAACACACAAAACCTCGACAAATTCGAGCCCTAATTTCCGTTTAATCAGCCAGATATTCTCCACGAGAATGTCGGTTTCTCCAAAGGGCAGTCTCAAATCCAATGCATGAACACCAACATCTCTAACTTCATCTTTCTTGAACTTCAAAAACTGCATCCAAACACCCCGTTTCTCGTCCAAGAAAAAACGGGCCCCGCCGATTTCGCACCGTTCGAGCTCAGACACTATCGCTCCGTCGGTTGCAAATGTCTTGTTCTCGGCGTCGAAATTCTTGCGTAGTATTTTCAGATACTCCCTCTTCCACCCCTCGTACTCTTCGTCCACAAATATCAACCCAATTTTCGGCCTATTTTCTTGATCATTATTATTTTTATTTTTATTATTACCTTTCTTCGAACCGTAAATTTGCTTCTGCAGAAGCTTCCTCATGGAGACGATAGAATCTTGTAAGTAGTTATTTGCCCTTCTGAGCGTAAAATCGGGGGAACCAGCTTCCGGCCATCCGGCTTTAACAACATAGCCTTCCTTGTGCAGTATCTCCCTCCAAACGTATCCGGCGTAATGTGGGCAAATGGGGGCAATAAGGCGCGTTTGGACATCCATAAATCTGCACAACAAATCTCGATTTTTCCCCCAAGAGTCTACGTACTCGTCTCTAGCCGCCTGAAGATCGTAGAAGCCGCTTTTCAGTGCCTCACGGAACATGTGGTCTCCATAATTCTTCTCCGTCAATTTCACCGCTAAGTTGATTTCATTGGCAAACACACGATCCGCGTACGTCCATGTGGGCCAACTATGCGAAGATGCCATGTCAGCACCAAGAACCGTTGACTGGGGCCCACTCTGCGAAGAAGCCACATCAGCACCACCACCAGTGAGAAATTTCTCCATCCACGAAATCTCCTTCGTGAGAGCCATGATGGCAGCTTTAGCTGTCTGGGTGACGAAATTGGCGTCGTCCAATCCGTCGCCGGAGTCCGCCAGCGAGAATCGGGTGGCGTCGCCGGAATATTCCTGTATGGCCTGCGGAGGGAAATATGATTCCCCGTCGATTTCGACATTTTCTTGGAATTCAGCATGATGTGCCCGTTGCACCGGAAAACCTCCGGCCAGTGCCGCTCGTGCATTATAGCCACGTGGTTGTATATACAGAAAGTCAAATGGTTCTGAATTAAATCATTTCCCGATACCCTAAGATCGAACGGGTACCAATACTCGAACTCCCTCTTCATCTCATCAAGAAACGAGGAATCTATTTTCGAAGACTCCGGATACCCACCTGCAAAAACAAAATCCCAAACCGTAAGCTCCTCCGGTCTTATCAAACAGTTTTCATCAACTCTTCCGTAAATATCATCCTCCTTCTGCAAGATATGCACCACCGTATAGTACGCCATGTAAAGGGTAGAATCGGACAAAGACTCAACCAAGAACTCCTCCTCCCACGGAACCCGCGTTCCCACTGGTTCAACCAGCTCAGCGTTGTTTCGGTTCCTCAATACTTCGGGGTAGAGTTTCATTCCGGCCAAACACTCCTCTGCCGCCTTCTTCCATTCTTCTTCTCCGTAAGTAATGAACCACTGTTCGGTCAAAGCCACAACACACTCTTCGCCGGATCTTGAAACCACTTTTTCTTCCGGTTCGCAGTAGACCACTGCTTGATCATCTTCTAGAAGCTTCCTTCTGATCAACATCCATAAATTCACCTACAAGCATTGTCCCTCCATTAATGATTGGTACAATCTCAAACGGAATAACCCACTCATCTTTTACACCATACTTTGTTCTACAAGCTGCCTTAGCTTTCAAATCACGGAAAGCTACGCAATCCTCGGTGCAATCACTCGGAACACTAGTGAAAATTCCGGTACCCTTATCAATACCCGGACGAACGGAAGATGACAACAATGGCAGAGCGTAAAGGGGATTTCAGAGGCAAACCGATTAAATCTCGACCCGTCAACTCAACCAAACAAGTAGGATTCTCATTTCTCGGGGATCAACGAGAGCCTCTGATAAGCCAAATTCAGAGCTGCCCTTTTATTCAAGATGAACACATCGGTTTCATTAATTTCAAACCCCCGAATTCTTCGTCAGGTGGGACCCAGCAATTCGTTTGCCCGTACGATGTCTCCGGCCTCAAAGTAGCTTCGGCGAGGTACACGTTTCTCTTTTTTTTCCCGCCAAAAAAAGAGGGCTCATCTTCGGAGGGAGAGGTGGGATCACCTGCATTTTTATTAGGGTGTACTCGACCGGCCGAACTCCTTCACCGGAAGCTCGATCGTGGTCAGCGCAGAGTTGACCGTCTAACGGGGAATATATTGCGTAGCTCCGGTCTTTGATCGGCATTCCGGTGCCGTGGAAGGCGAAGGGAAGCAGCACGTTGGCCCCTCTCAGGCGGTGGTAGGCGGCGGCGAATTCGAGTTTGGAGAGGGAGAACACGTGGCCCACGTGGAGATTGCCGTTCATGTAAGGCAAGGGAAAGGTGCCGAAGAACTTTTGACCCGGTTCGGGGGGTGAGTCATTCGGGTCGGATCGGAAAACGTCGTCGTCTGACCACCACTTGCGGACCTGTGACTCGATTTCCAGGAGACGGTCTCTTCTAGCAAAGCTTTTCCCAATTTCTTCCGCCATTTTTTTTTTTATTTTTCAATAGCTGTACATACAAGAAGAACTACTATGTGTGAAAAAAAATGAGGGAAAATTTTACACCAAATACACGCAGTAATTCACACACACATAAGAACATGCATAAAGAACAAATTTTTGCACGCATTCCTAGACAAATTAGTCCAATTAACACAAATTATCGTCACACACAAACCGTAATTGAAATTGTGCGATTGAAGAATTTAAAAAACAAAAAAATATAAAAAACGAAAATCAAATTATATACACCTAATTAGTATCGAAATAGGTTTTATTTTTCCTTTTAGGCTAATTTTTATTTCCTTATACTCTTTGTTTTTTGTTTTTTTTCTGAATTTAAGGTTCATGTAAAATATGACTGCGCATTTTAAATTAATTATTTTCCTGGTGAGATTTAATTGTATATTGTATTAAAGAAATAAAAAAGAAAACTGGGCAATTTTTGGCTTCGTTTCCATTTCAATTTGATTTTTGACTGTAAACAAATTCGTGTTTATTAAAATTTGCCAGAGAATCGTCGCATCAAATTCTAAAGTTTTTATCTCCTCCTGACATAATGCACACCGCAGTAAAAATATTTGACTGATTACGATAAAAAATATTTTTATTAAAGTAAATAAACATCACAAGATATAAGCATCTAGTTACCCTTTATGAATAAATAACACGTGGAGAGCCAAATAGTACACGTGTCATAAAACAACTCTGCATGCAACGTGACTCCTCGTCTCGTACCTAACCATAACAAGCAAATTTCCACAATTGACCCTCCTTCGAAATTGGAAATATTTTCAGTTGTGGAAGAATACTTTCAATGGTAAATAACAGAAAGTAGAGGGGCAAAAATAGAATAAATCAAAATAGCTCACCGCCAACCTTTCATCACCAAACAGCGGCGAACGCTATTTCATATATCAGACCAAAACCAAAACCCAACACTCAAATTATCAGTAATTCCACAGAGACAAAAATAAAAAATGAAAGGAGGTGGTCTAACCTACGCCGTGGTTACCGGAACCGCGCTGATACTGCTAACATGCGCACTCGCCACCCTCGAAGAAGAACAAGAAGTAATTCTCCAAGTCACCGGAAACCACCACCACCACCACCTCCTCGGCACGGCGGCGGAGCACCAGTTCAACAGTTTCATCCAGGAGTACGGGAAAGACTACCCTACACGTGCGGAGTACCTGCACCGCCTCGGGATCTTCGCCAAGAACTTGTTGAGGGCGGCGGAGCACCAGGCCATGGACCCCACCGCCGTCCACGGTGTCACTCAGTTCTCAGATCTTTCTCAGGAGGAGTTCGAGGGTATGTACATGGGGGTCAAGGGAGGCGCCGCCGCCGCGCCGTCGGAGAACGAAGAAGTGGTGGCGGCGGAGATGGAGGTCGGCGATTTGCCGGAGAGCTTTGACTGGAGAGAGAAAGGTGCTGTCTCTGATGTCAAGATGCAGGTATGGTTAATAATTATTTATTATGCTCTTATTTATTATTTATTATTTATTAATTTTTCACTTTACTTTTGTTAATTAATTCATGAGTTTTATTTATTTATTTTAATATATTGTAAAGATTTCAATTTATACACAGTGATATGTATATACAGGGTACTTGTGGTTCTTGCTGGGCATTTAGTACCACCGGAGCAATCGAAGGTGCGAATTTCATCGCGACCGGAAAGCTTTTGAATCTTAGCGAGCAACAGCTCGTCGATTGCGATCACGCGGTATATATATATATATATATATATATATATATATATATATATATATATATATATTTCGGTTTACTAATCAAATTTCTATTTAGTTTTCTATTATTTGGTGATTGATATATTAATTATAATGTATTATATGAAAGTGCGACGCGACGGAGAAGAAAGCGTGCGACGACGGGTGTTCGGGCGGACTAATGACGAATGCGTACAAGTATTTGATCGAGGCTGGTGGCATTGAAGAAGAGGATGCGTATCCTTACACCGGAAAACGGGGCGAGTGCAAATTTAAATCGGAGAAAGTGGCGGTCAAAGTTTCGAATTTCATCACAATTCCCATCGAGGAGAATCAAATTGCCGCGTATTTAGTCAACCACGGTCCTCTTGCAGGTATATATATGTATCTTCGTTTGTTCATCGCTCTTATTTCTATTAATATTTGGGGGTTAATCCGCATCCGAGAATTATTTTCGTTCCAAAAGTATCGTAAGAAACGAGTCTCGTAAAGTTAAAGCCAATTGTGTACTTTCAAGCAAGTAATATTGACCCCTCCGATCCATTACATAATTTTCGGGTTCGGTTATATTGTTGCCTTATATATGTTATGTATGGGTGTTACTAGGGGTGGAAATTGGAACATAATTTTTTGTTTTCGTTGATTCCAATTTTTCAATTTTGTATCATTGTTTTTCATTCTGGAGTCAGAAAATTCCGATTTTCGAGTTTTTCTTATTCGTAATTGGAATACAAACGAGATTCCCGATCCGATTATAATAATTCTAAGAATTTCAATTTTTTTCCTGAAATTGTACTTATAAAATTGATAAGTATGTATTATATATTTTGGGTGACTATCTAATTGCAAGTTTCCAAATTTTGCGGATTCCAATCCCAAATTATTTATCGATTTTGGAACAATTTATTTTCATTCTAATTTATGAAATTCCGATTCTCTTGGAAATGGATTGGGAATTTGTTTTTCAATTTCGAATTTTCGAAGATGCATGTTCTAATCCGATTTGCACGTACCCATAGGTGTTACGCAATGTGAGATTGCAAAATAAAAATCGAATTATCGACTTATGTACCTTTTTTTTTCTCTCTATATATTAACCTGAAAATGTCGAAACTAATGTAGTGGGGCTAAACGCCGTTTTCATGCAAACATACATCGGTGGTGTATCGTGCCCGTTGATTTGCGGCAAGAAATGGATCAACCACGGCGTACTTCTCGTGGGCTACGGTTCGAGAGGCTACTCGATCCTGCGGTTCAAGAACAAACCCTATTGGATAATCAAGAACTCGTGGGGTAAACGATGGGGAGAGAAAGGGTATTATCGTCTTTGCAGGGGGCACGGTATGTGCGGGATTAATACTATGGTTTCTGCAGTCATGACAAAGGCCTCTTAATTTATATTTTAGTGTTTGTGGAATTACTAATTAGTACCTTAATTAAGCCTTTTGTCATAATTTGCTATTGTGGTGTGATATGAAATAAAATGTAATATAAGAAAGTTGGGAAAAAAATTATCATTATTTAATATAGGTTTGTGTTTTTAATTAAGTTTAAGGGATGTGATAAATGTTATTCGAGCTTTAATATTACTGTTACGATTTCAAATGTGATTTTGATCATTTTTAATTTCAAATTTTGCAAAACCCGAAAAATAAAATTTGGAGTATTCCGAGTTAGTTTTTTAATACAACTTGAATCATCAAAATTGGAAGTTAGACGAGAAAGATAAATATGAATTAATGGATATTGTCCACAATTTTGATGTATTGAGGTATTTAAAATTCAAAATGTGAATGATTTATGCATAACTTTGTCACACGGCATCCAATCTAGTGGATTTAAGTTGGATTAGAAAGCTAACCCAAAGGATTACAGTTTGCGTGTTTCGAATTTTGCCAAAATCAGAGTAAAAATATGTAAAAATCAGGTTCGAAGTCAAAATATAAAAACAATTCCGACCTACCGGATTCGAACCAGTGACCTAAGGATGGCTATGTTTCACACTACAGTCCTCCGCTCTACCAACTGAGCTAAGGTCGGGATTGATATTAGGTTGACATATACGTTGTTTAGAACTGTCCATTACTATTAATACATAAAAAATGGTTCCATCTTTTTGAGTTTATGTATATGATATCAAAGCAAATTATTACACTTGCATGGGTCGGGTCGGGTTGGAAAATTATCGACTCATTACCTAGTCAACACGACCAACCAATCTTACTTAATATTGTAAATCATTATCGGCCCGACCATCACCTAGTCGACACGACCAACCGGTTTTGTTAAATATTGAAAATCATTATCGGCCCGACCAATGGGCTGGATAATGATTGACAATCAATTTTGTCGAATAAGCAATATATCGGTTGATTGGTTTTATTGACTATCTATTTATGGAGTTTTTATTTGTTACAATTTAAGATGTTCTTAAAACTTTTTTCAGAAAATATCCATAATTATGAATTTATGAGAAAACGTTGCAAAAAATACACCTTTAAAAATAAGGTTTTTTTTATTATTTATTTATTAGACTTCTACAAAATATAAATATATATGAAGAATATGAAATAATAATTATAAAATAGAGATAAAACGTAGAGGTTTATAAATTTGTGTCTTGAGTTTTCGAGTTTCGACTTATTTTTATATATATTTAAGAAAATAAGAATTACAATTAAATATTTATAATAAAATTTTATTATTAAAAAAATCGGTTGACTGATATTACCCGACCAACTGACTATTAAGTAAACTGAAAAACTCCGAACGACCCATTTATACATGGATCGGTTAAATTTTCGACCAAACTAAATGGGTCGGTTAATTATCGTTAATCGGCCCAATTAATTAAATAAATGATGTTTTCCGCTTGTCTTGGTCACTTAAACCGTGATCCTCGTGGGCCGTAGCCACACACAAAAAATATTCAGCACGATAATAACATTGTGCGCACTTTTCCTCCTTTGGAATTTTATTACATAAGAAGACCAAAATACCCTCAAGGTACAAATCCGGTATGCACGCCGTGGGTGCGCATCAAAGGGTATTCTGAGGTCAATACGTCCAAACGGGAGACTATTTGCAGCTTTATCCAATAATGGAACCAAATCCACGTCAGCTAGAGAGAGAGAGTGAGAGAGACAGATGAGAGAGAGAATCAAGAAACTGGAAGAAACTGTTGAAGAGAATGCCACCAAAAAACACTAAAGAAAGTGGACGTTGTATATTCTTGAGCCCACATTTTACATCTCTCTCTCTCTCTCTCTCTCTCTCTCTCTCTCTCTATATATATATATATATATATATATATATATATATGTTGTGTACTACCCTTCAGTCTTCACCGTGCCATTTTTTTTCTTTATTCGTCATATTTTTCTTGGTCTCCTTTAGAGAAAAGCTCCACTAAACGGTACCGTCTTTGTTATTATTTTACTTTTATTATTATTATTTTTTTCTGAATGTTATTTGGATATGATTTATGGGTTTTTCTTGGTTTTTTATTTTGAGTTAGATTTTATTTTATGTTTTTTTTTTCTTGAAATCTGGTTTTTGACTCTGCGCATGTTATTCTGATGCAATGATTCATGACATGTAATTAAGACAGAGTTTTGTGGATTTGTTGTTGTAATTATGCCATTGAAATGAGTTATCTCCTGCATGCTCAAATACAAAAATATAATTTTTTTTGCTGGGGGGGGGGGGGGGGTGTGAAGCAACTAAGAAATCTTGAATTTTGAAAAATGTGGCAAATAAGGATCATTAATCCATGGCATGTTTCGTGGTTAAGAGTTAAGATCACAATATTGAAGTTTCGATTATGCAATTAAGGCATACTAATATATAGTAAGATTGCTTGATTTATAGAGCTTTTTCCGGAACGTTCGTTTGAGCTGGATGCTGTATTCTTGAAATCTTTATAAATGATGTTATTTGTTTCATGTAATTGGTAGAACTCCGTGCCATGTAGTTCGATTTTCGTTATATCGTTAATGTTTCTTGAAATTTTTGAACTCTTTTAGCCATTCGAAATCTCCATGTATATATACGTTGAAAACCCTCGATTTCTCAAACAGAGAACAAAATTGCAGAGTAGCACTTCTTAAACGACACACGATCCCGTAGTGTTGCTTTTCCTTATGTACTATATATTTAATTTAGGCCAATTCAATAAATTTATCCCCATTCAACTTACTATTTTCTGTACTAGAACTTGTGCTATTGTTTTATTTTTATTTTTTTGCTGAGGTTTATCGGTTTAGTTTCACTAACTTTTTTTTATTCGAGAAATAAAGTGACGGTGGATGTTTCTTTATTCGACAAATGACGGAAGTTAATGCTAGAACTTCCCGTTACAACGAGAACAGAGCTTTAGATAGTTCTGCACCTTCCAACGAACCGAAAAGGGCAGCAGAGAATAGCACAAGCACTTCTCAATTCGTCAATCACGGTAACCGAGCACTCGTTTCTTGTTATTCTTGTTTTGATGGTAATATAAATTGTACGAGAAAAATATAAATAAGAGTTAGCTACGTAATACGTATAAACATTTGATGTAGCTGCAATTGCATGGGACGAGAGCAGACGAAAATGGGCAGGTGATCTATCTCCGAGATCACAAAAAATGCCGACTGATCCAATTATAAGGTCTACTTCAACAAATCTCCGACTTTTTTTTTTCGATCGAAATCTTATGATGCACATGAAACAATCGCATACTTGGTTGGTATTATTTTCTATCACATTATTTAATTTTTATCAGGATTGCATTTTTAATGCTTCGTTATTTGTTCTCTGCAGCTGGTCGACGACGTACGAAGACCTTCTATCTGA